TGCTTCTACAGGACCAAGCTGCTCGCTATCCTTGCTGTTCCGTCTGGGACCGTGATGCTCAGTTTGGTTGCTATGCCGACGTTTGTTGACATGTTTATTTCTGCCAAGTAAGTCCTTGTAGAAATGTGAAACTGAATTTTTATTGGGCAAATATAGACCATGTGATATCTGTTTACAAATGTGATGCCAATTTTCAGCACTATTCTCCTGTACACTGCAAATATATCTTAAACTATTATTGGTGATTGATTTGGGCAGTTGATTTGCTTAAATGTTTGGGTTACCCTCGGTTGCTCTTCGGTTTCCTGTTAGTTTGATCATGGAGGAATAAGGTGACGTTGAGCCTAAGGCAACCGCTGTCCCTTGATGTGCCGTTTGCAAAATCTAAATTGCAACTGTTGCTGAAAGTTGGCAACACTGACCACAACATCCATATAAACAGAGTCCAATGATTGCATGACCATAAAATGACTACAGCCAAAAGTAGTGGAAATGTGGAATTAATCAGACTGCGAATTTTGAAGACAAAATTTTATGGATTTTGGTATTGAGGCAGTTTATAATTCATTTACTTCAACAGATGGTATGATATTCCTCCCAACCTTGGGTTGACGTCCATTATATCTGGCCTCTGGAACGGTGCATTTGCAGTCGGGTATGTTTATTAATTGGTTCTGCAGATAATCTTGATGGAGGTTAATTGCTTTTATGGAAGTGACCTTAAATTGTTGCTGTCACTACCACTGATGCAGCACCAGCAGCTTGTGCTAGTTTGTTGCTGTTGCTGATGCTTCCGTTGTTCCTGATGCTACTGCAGCAACCTGTATCTATCCCTGCTGCTTGTGCTAGGTTGTTGCTGTTGCTGATGCTTCCGTTGTTCCTGATGCTACTGCAGCAACCTGTATCTATCCCTGCTGCTTGTGCTAGGTTGTTGCTGTTGCTGATGATTCCGTTGTTCCTGATGCTACTGCAGCAACCTGTATCTATCCCTGCTGCTTGTGCTAGGTTGTTGCTGTTGCTGATGCTTCCGTTGTTCCTGATGCTACTGCAGCAACCTGTATCTATCCCTCCTGCTTGTGCTAGGTTGTTGCTGTTGCTGATGCTTTTGTTGTTCCTGATGCTACTGCAGCATTCTGTATCTATCCCTGCTGCTTGTGCTAGGTTGTTGCTGTTGCTGATGCTTCCGTTGTTCCTGATGCTACTGCAGCAGCCTGTATCTATCCCTGCTGCTTGTGCTAGGTTGTTGCTGTTGCTGATGCTTCCGTTGTTCCTGATGCTACTGCAGCAACCTGTATCTATCCCTACTGCTTGTGCTAGGTTGTTGCTGTTGCTGATGCTTCCGTTGTTCCTGATGCTACTGCAGCAACCTGTATCTATCCCTCCTGCTTGTGCTAGGTTGTTGCTGTTGCTGATGCTTTTGTTGTTCCTGATGCTACTGCAGCATTCTGTATCTATCCCTGCTGCTTGTGCTAGGTTGTTGCTGTTGCTGATGCTTCCGTTGTTCCTGATGCTACTGCAGCAGCCTGTATCTATCCCTGCTGCTTGTGCTAGGTTGTTGCTGTTGTTGTTGCTTCCGTTGTTCCTGATGCTACTGCAGCAGCCTGTATCTATCCCTGCTGCTTGTGCTAGGTTGTTGCTGTTGCTGATGCTACCGTTGTTCCTGATGCTACTGCAGCAACCTGTATCTATCCATGCTGCTTTGCTGATGTTGTTGTTGCAGCTGTCAATGCTGCTGCCACTGCTGTTGCTGCCATTGCTGCTGTTGTTGCTGTCACTGCTGTTGCTGTTGTCAGGGGTTACCCCCCCCCCCCCCCCACCAGATTTACCCCAGTGCCCCTTTTGCGGACATAAATGTGCCCCCTCAAGCATAAATGTGCCCCCTCAAGATGAAAACAAAACTTGCCCTAAAATTTTGGATAATTTGTTTTCAGTAATCGTTTCCCAAAACGGTAGAGAGAGTTGTGATATGAAAAAAATGTGTCGATATTTCAGCACAGATTTGCCAAAAAACGTATGCTGGATTACGCTGCTGCAACAACGGAAGATGCCTTTCACTGAGCAAGTGCTTAGTGGTGATGGGTGATGCCCCCCCCCCCCCCCCCCCCCCAGTTTGAAAACCGTTCTGCCGCCGCTGGCTGTTATTGTTGCTGTTGTTGCTGCTGCTGCTACTGTTGCTGCTGCTGCTACTGCTGCTGCTGAAGTTGTTACATTGTTACTGCTGCTGTCGCTCCATTGCTGCTGCTGCTGTTACATCTGTTGCAGCCATTGGTAATGATAACGGTGTGAATAGTGTTGATGAAGGTGATGATGATTATTGTATAATTTATAAGTGCTGTTGAAGCTGTACTGTTGATTTTTATGATATTTTCTTTTCGGCAACCGATCTTCTGTTATCTTTGGACAGGTCCCTGGTAGGCCCCATGCTTGGGGGCACCCTGACAGAAGTCTATGGCTTTGCCTTCCAGACTACAATCCTCGCTGGTGTTTTACTCCTACTCATGATCATAGTGTGTCTATTTGGAGTCTGGGAGTATCGCTGTGGAAGAGGGTGAGTTTAAAGGAGAGTCCTGATTGGTTGCATATGGTTGACACAAATTCAAGAATGACTTGCTGACAACAAGTTTAGTCTTGTTTCAAGTTGGTATACATTAAGTTAATTAATCTTAACTCCTTCGGGTATTTTGGCTAGAAACACTGCCAAACGCAGCAACATGGAACACTTGTCTAAGTGACCAGCCAGCCGCAGTGTAGCAAGATCCATCACGTCAAGTGTTTCAATACCAAACTGCCTTAGAGTCTGTGGTCACCACACGCAGCAGGATGCAACTGTGGCATTGTGCAATGGGACTAGCTCTCAGTAATGGGATTGTTTCAGTACTGGCCGTTTATGCACCGATGTTGATAGCTGAATGCATCAAAGTGCACCAGACTTGTCCACCTGATGCACTGTGTTGCGTCTGGCAGGGTTAGGGTTAAGCCTTGATACTCTAATATTAACTAAGAAATTAAAGTGTAAAACAAGTGCGGCACTTGTTTTACACTTTAATTTCTTGGCACTTTGCCATTGGCACTGTGCCATGGGAAGCTTTTGAACAGGAAACAAGGAAAAGGAAATTAGGGTCAATATGCAAAACGTATCTCATCCCTTCTTGATGAAGGGGAAGGGGGAAAAAACAGAAAAATACCAGAGAAAAAAAAATAGCGGTCAATTTTTTTCTCCTTTCTGATCTTATAGGAGACGGGTCCCAAGATCAAGGTTGGAGATACAGACCAACTCAACTGACGAGGAACAGAGGCCACTCATTCCAAACGATGTGTAATATGCATTTGCGTTCAAAGAGTTGAAGCGGGTGTAATGCAGTTTTGCGTTAGTTTACTTAACTGCCTTTTATACCAAATATTATTCTACAGCGTACTAATTGCTGGTCACCGGAGTGCCAGCCCACAGTCGTCTTTGTACCTCAACAACTAAAGCACGGCGCACACCTTTCCCATTTATCACTGGTACGTTTTTATCACTGTTACGGTTAGACCACAACTTTACCCGGCACACATGCCCAAATTCTGTTCTACAATGGTCACATGACTATCAGTCACATGACGCCTTGTCACATGATGACAAAATGGCAGCCGTCAATTTTGAATCATGTGACTTCCTTCGTGAATCTGATCGGTTCAACTTAAATATGTTGATTTGATTTGGTCGCCTTGTGTACGGTCAGATCGGTCCAAAGTTTCGGCACACTTTGCCCGATGATCTGGCGGACCGGTAAACTCAGAAAGGTGTGCGCGGGGCTTTACTGAGTCACTGTCACTTGTGAATTAGACTTGCTTCAGCCTTAGCTTTTCCCAACTTAAACTCAGATGACTGTGTAGGCCCCGTAGCCAAAATTAGTATTGGACCAGCTTTTAGGCATACCTATACAAGTCATATTTGTGGCGGTTCTAGGCCTAAAACCTTTTCTTCATCAATAACTTTTTTTGGTAGGCTAAAAACTTTGCAATGAGGTTAATGAGCGCATTTTGTGGCAACACCACAGTGTGGCTATTTTTTTGCAATAACATTTTAAATTTATTTCTTTTAATCATAAATATTGATTATATTTATAATAACTGTTGATTTTTATGAAATAATCAAATGCCAGTAGAAACTATAATGCCCTGAAATAAATAATTTCTTTGACACAATTTTCATGTTATTGTAACATGTCTTTTATTGTAAAGGCTATACGATTTTAGGCTTTGCATGGTGGAGTATCAGTATCAGCATCGTTTCGATTTGCAACTTATTAGCGGTAATGTAATTACTACTGTCACTCAGTGGATGTTTATTTCTGATGAGAAATTGCTTTTCCCACTCCAACACCATGCCCAACAGACAACCAATCACAATCTACCAACACAAGCACTCCCACAGCCTACTTAAGGAGCAACATCTCCAACTCTCTTCAGTCTCCTGACGATGACTAGAGCACATGGGCATCACCAAGATTTTTCCGGGGGGGGGGGGGGGAAAGCAATTTTTTCCCCAAAATTCCTTAACTTTTTCATTATATTCTCAATTTATCATTTTTCCGAGCGTGAGCAGGGGAGCATTTGCCCTCCCCTCCCCTCCCCCCATCAAATTAACACCAATATGGCTTCGCACCTCTTTTTCGTTTTCCAGGCCCCCCCCCCCCCCCGCGACGCCCATGCTAGTGCAGGCTAGTCGAAACGTTGAGACCAAAGACGAGTTCTTTTAGAACTGAAAGCAGGACTGACTCTTACCAGAACTAAAAGCTACTTAACGAAGTTAAGCGGGACAAGGTCTAAATCAGAACTAAACATCTTTTTGATAGCGATATAGTTGTTACCACAAGGTGTTACCCCAAACCGAAACGATACCATTATTTAATAAGGTGATTTGATAATCGAAATACAGATAAAGCCGTTCAAGCTTTTCTGTTTATTCACGGATTACGTGCTGTTTGTTATGTGGACAAGACTGCAGCTGTTATATAACGCAGTTAAGGTTAAAATGTTCTTTCAGTTACAACTGCTCACTTCGCATCTTTCCTGCGGCCGAGAGCACATAATATTTATAGCTCCATGATACAACGCACACTGACGGTGCGATATCCCGCCAAAGATAGAATTATTGGTCTACACAACCGATACAAGGTGTGAAAAATATGACAGACTCTGGCTCCGTAGAGGTAAGTCATGTTGTCAGGTTATTGTTTTGTCGGTGGTGGCAGGTGCGTTATTCTATGACTGGCGCTTTTGGAGGCATGGGTGGCTTGTGCGTAAAGCGCTCGCCTCTCACCAAGGTGACCACGCGGTTCGAATCCTGGCCGCGGATCACATGTGAGTAGAGTTGTGCGTTGGTTCTCTCCTGTGCCACGAGGGTTTTTCTCCGGGCCCTCCGGTTTTCCTCCCTCCGGAAAAATCAAACGCTATCTCAGGCTGTGTTCCGTGGTCATATATGGGTCGATGTGGCCGGCAGCCATAGGCGCCTTTACGTGCCAGCGGCCCGACCACGTTGTAGCCGCGTACTTCGCAATTCAGCATACCAGCTGCGAGTAAGGATGATTAGCCTGAGCCTCCCAAATTATTATTATTTTATATAGCTGCATAATAAAAACATAATACGTGTCCATAATATTGTGAACAGCTCCCGCTTGAACTTGCTTTCCACATCTCTTTGTCACCAAATGGGCAGCGGCACAAGATGCACAACTGCCGTCCCACATTGAGACTTGGTGTTTATTGTTGTGTTTTATTACTTTTGGTAGAAAAATTTTGTCGGTTGTTAAATTTCAACGAAAAAAAATAATGGTGACCAATGAGGGTTAGCCTTGCTCTATCATTAATACAAGTAATGTTTGCTTTTGAAATTTTTAGAATTCTGATTTTTAACCCTCCATATACTAACTAGGAAAACTTATCCCTTAATAACATGTTGTCCATTGGGTATGATCATCCAATCCTCTATTGAGACAAACTAAATTAAAGATCTCTGCCGTTGGGAATCCTTAAGTTTATAGTGCACATGTATGATAAAAACTAACGCCACAAAAGCAGCTTCAATTGTTTATTTCATTTTGGCATATGTAAATACATATACTCGTGCAAACGGTTCATTGTTTCTAACACAACTTAAGGTAAAACAACCTCCCGCCAGCAACAACGGCCAGCAATGGATGGCCATGCCCCAACTCAATGGTGGTGCATCAGGGGTGCCACCGGGCCTGGAGTATCTAGCTCAGATAGATCAACTCGTCATACATCAACAGATTGAACTCTTTGAGGCATTGAGTGGTATCGAGTGCAAGAACCGCTACGTCATAAAGAATACACTGGGCCAGCAGGTGTATTACGCCTATGAAGGTACAGTTTTGTTCTCAGACAAGTCGTTTCTTGATTTTGAATAGGTAGAAGCCAGGAGCGATTAATAGTTTATGCGATATTTATGTCATAACACATAGATCACTCTATAACATCAGGTTTTTATACTTTGGTTGAAACGGCTAAAATGTTGTCACTAAAAAAAACCCATTTTCCGTGTCCTAAGCAAGGGCTCGTGTTTCAAATTGGCATCACTAAACAAACACAAAGTTCAAACATGATCGCATTTCTTATACAATTTTTTTTTTGAACTGCAATGTAATGGTCTGGTACAAAATTACATAAACCACTGTTTCCAATATTTCTGATTGTTATTAACCAAATTCGTTCAACTAGCATTCAAACTCATTTTCATGCGCTATAAGAAAAGAAATCCTGAATCTTTTTCAGATTCAGGATTTTCTTTGGTGAAAACGCTTCAATTTAAAATTTGCAACATTCGTTTAAAGGCATATAGGATCATTTGCTTTTCACGCATTCAGTTCGTTTCCAATAATAACACCACTCAAAATCCAAAGAAGCTAACCTTTTCGTAGCGTTTTTTTTTTCCCATACTGGCGAACAGGTTGCAGCGCGCCTTTTCCGTACCGGCGAACATGCAACCTCCAAAATGAGTCATTATTGACTGATCGTTAGAAATAGCTACACATCTTGATTTCTTCGAAATGATAGAACAAGCCAGACGCAATCATCTCACATGGTGTTTAGTACCAGTACGATCTTTAATCTATTTAAGCTTTTTGATAATCATTCGGTAGGTTACTTTTGGGATAGATGCAAATGATCCTATATATATGCCTGTAATAAGAAACGCTCATTCGTCGACCGGGTTTATAGGCCTAATCCTTTTCGTTTAAAGTTGGTGTATGCGTGCTTTTTGGGTGTGGCACCTTGAACAATAGATTTTCAAATTAAATTGATAATTTTCTAGCATAAGCTATCCAGTGAGATATCGCACGAAAAATCGGCCCACGACAAGTAATCAATTAATCAATTTCAACCTTTGAATATGATGTGCGCAATTTCTGAACTGGAGCGCGCCATTTAAAACAACTTTTAAAAACTGTATATAGTTCCCTCCGATTACATCTTTTTAGCTTGAGCATTTATATATTCGTAAATTATTTATAATTTATATTTTCTTGCATCTTTGTTTATTAATTTACCACAATGTCTTCCTTTCTGAAGTTTCGCATCTTTTGTTGAAATCCTCATTTTTTTTTCCTCATTTTGTTCTGTCACAGCAACAAATAAACAATGTGATGCTTTAAATCCCGTTAGACGTGGACTTGGAAGCAACAAAATAATCTACTTGAACATTTTGTCACAAAGCCTGCAGCCCATGAACAGTAATTTCCCTGACGAACAGTGAACCTTCGGAAACCCGGGCGCATACTGTTTGTGCGTAGCCATTCTTAAAGATAATTGACACCATTTGCCAAGGAACAGCGATATTCAATTAATTTGAAGCAGATTTTTAAAAACTAACCTGTCGAAATTTCAGATCAGTATAGATGGGCACTACATGTGTTATCTTTTTTTAAAGAAACTGTGAAAATGCATCTTCATTTTTCTCGACGCAAAGAATATATAGTTTCCGTTGTTTGGTAATATAATAATATTTGCGAGAAAATGACGGACATGTCTCTAAGTTGAAACTGACAGGCGCAATGATTTCACAGGATGATCCTATTATTTACTTACAATCGAGAAGGATATTGTTATCAATTTTGGCAATTTTGGTTTGAATGTTTGCAACAAGTGTCCATCACCTGTAAAGTTGGATACATCTTCTGTGATGAACAGTTCGCATACCGCTATAGCCATAATGAAGTATAGCGCGAAATTAACAGCTGCATTAAACTTGGCTGCATCATTTTGATGAATTTGATCTAGAAAACCAACCTATCGTATACCGACGTATTATTATGCTGTTGTCACCATATGAACTTAATTATTACTCGCGGATTTTTATATTGCTTCACTCTGCTGCCGATCTAAATGTATTAGTGCGTCATGTACGCTACCTGGACCAGGTTTACATTGATAAGAAAAAAGATCGATGCGCGTTAGGTTTGTGTGAAATTTAATTTGCAAAGTTTTGGAGATATTACGAAGAAAAAGCGAAGGACAGATAAAACCGGCACCACACCTAGGCTTACTGAATCATGATGTTGGCTATAGTTCGAAAGATCAAATAAACATTCACATGGGCGACATATCGCCCGTGTTTAAATTGTTTGCTCAAAGGATCGCATGACGGAAATAGCTAACTGCATTCAGCCATGAGTCCGTAGACGAAACGAAGTGATTATGTAATGATATATGCTAATAATATAAAGTGTTTCGACAACCTTATCAACAACAACATAAGATTGATAGGGCCAAAGGTCATACATGTACCACAGTATTTACAATGTAGAGCATATTAGAAAAACAATTACAATGTTGTTTATAATTCGATTAACCCGACCCGGTCGGGTCCCACATTTTTTTCTCAACGAAAAAGTAATGAAACAAACAAATAAAAAAAAATTCTCCAAAGTTACGTGTACGAAAACTTTTGACGTTTGACGTAATATAACAACCATAATCTTATATTTTGGGGGATTTCTTTGAACTTGTTCAAGTCTCCCACGTTAAGCAACAATTCGTCCAATCTGTTTTTGCCCAATTTAGGGGCACCTCCTCTCCCCTCCCCCCCCCTGTTTTTTTTTTGTTTTCTGGGCTTAATATCAAGATGTTATCATTGTTCATATGATTTCCCATCTAGTTTTCTTAGGGTAATTAACTCTGCCAGTAAGCAACTTGGAAACCAAAATTGGAAACCCATCAACACGGTTTGTTGGAAAGACTAATTGATGATATCTGGGAAAAGGCTAATGGTTTATCATAATTCGTCAACTGAAAAGAAATGTTTAAGAGTTCAATTGGGAACCTTGTACCGTTGGGTACACAGCTTTATGCAATCCCATTCCTAATCTTTGCAAATATTATTTGGACACCAACTGTTCGACATTAAATTTCATGGAATAGCAACTTGTATTGAAGTATTGCGCCTATCAAATGTCCCCCCCCCCCCCCCCCCGCTGCCCCCGGTCCGTTGTCGGGATTTGGTCACGTTTGCAGGGTGGGGATTTTGGTCACTCAAATTACATTGTTAACATTGGCGTACTGCATGGAATGGCAATCACTAGGTCGGGGATTGTCACTTAAATTTTGCCCGAGAGGTGGGGATTTTGTCACTTGAAAAGTGACAATCCCCACGTCTTGGGTGGGGCAGCCCGGGGGAGGGGTGGGGGAAACAATTGATAGGCGCATAATTGTTAAAGATGTACTGCCAATATGTTCTTCAATGTTAACTTGAAATTGTTGTTGTTTCTTGTAGAGTCGAGTTTCTGCCACCGCTGTTGGTGCGGCGCAGGTCGAGGGTTTGTCATGCATATTGTGGACAACCAGTACCAGGTAGGAATTAATATAGGTTTTTTCGGCCAAGTTAGCAGATTTGGCGGCCAAATTGGTGACCAAGCAACCATTTTCGCACGAATTTGAATGCACGTTGAGATTAACATTCAATTACCTAAAAACACCAATCAATTTCATGTTAAAAGCATGCGATTTCACATTTAAATCATTCAAATTAAAATTGCACAAACGAGCATCCAAATTTGCCGGAGCTTCAAGCTGTGTATAAGATTGGTCATTCGAATTCACCATATTAAGCAAGCATGTGTGTAAAGTAAGCAAAGTAATTCGAAATAGGTCCATGTCGTTCCGTTGTTTGTTAGAATAAGATGGAGTGCTTTTGTTCCAATTTGGAAACATGGGCGTCACGGGGGGGGGGGGGGAGGGGGAAGCAGGGGGCGCTTTCTCCCCCCCCCCCAAAAAAAAAAGAGGGGGGGAGGGAAAAAAGGAAAAGAAAAAGAGGCACGAAGTCATATTGCTGTAAATTTAATGAGTTGGGGGGATGTCCGTGCCCCCTCTAAAACTGATAAATCAAGAATATGATGGGAAATACAGGCATTTTTTCTTTTTGGGGGGGGAATATGTTTTGCCCCCCCTCTAGAAAAAAATCCTGGGGACGCCCATGTTGGAAATATAGATGAAACCTCCAACAAGACTCTGCGACTACGTACTCTGATCACCATGCAAACTGTTAGATTGAAGCACTAGAAATATAAATATGCCGGCTCATGGGCGTTACATGAGAATTCAAATGTAGACCCTGGTCGTTTGATCGAAGCTTTCGATGGCAATGCCCAAGACTATCTTGAACTTGCAGACAAGCTTGCCTTACACAGATCTACTGACAGGTCAAATGTAGCAACGTATCTCAGATATGGCAGACAGAAAAACCTGCCAAGAGGAGGGGCAAGAAAAACAAAAATGGACCACGATCTGAAGCAGAAAAGAAATTGAAAGGGTGAAAGAAATCAAAAGACTCGCATCGTCTACTTTCGTTTACTTTTATTTTAAATGCAAATAGTGCTAAATAGAATGCGCGGAAATGAAAACGAAAACAAGAATCTGATGCAAATAACCTTAAACCAAACCGACTGCTAAATTGAATGATCACTTAAACCGAATGACATAACTTCAATTTAGGATGTGTTAAACATGAAAATGTCAGGTCTTAAAAACGAATTTGAACGCCTGAAATCTAATACGAACCACGGGAATGACAGCAGGACGCTACGTCGCTTCAAATTGGCCACTTTCAAGATGAATTCGAATGAATTTTTTTTCGAAATTGGCCGTGAAAACCTATATAACGTGATGGAAAAACCAGGCGCGTTACTCATAGTCATCTGACACATGCATGGGGGCGCTGTTCAATGAGGACCGTACATGACGCAATTGTTTGTTTTTCTGTATCATTTGTGTCCCCGCGGTTCTCTAAAACAAAGTGGCCAAATAGCGCCATGACGAGCATATTTGGCGGCAAGGAAGTACATTATACCGTAAATAACCACCATGGGCGTCGCGAGGGGGGGGGGGGGGGGGGGGGGGGGGGCGGCGCGCCTTTGCCAGCCCAGCCTGGGGCGCTAACCCCAGGCTAATTCATATCAGTACCGGTATATGGTTTTCAAGAGTGATTCTTGATGCAACGCATCCTTTTTTCAATCGAAATTGAATGGACCAGTTATGTAAGGTTTGATATTGGCAGGAAAAACTTATGTAAATATCATTCGTTTAAATGTATTAGTTTTCTTCAGCATGGTGGAATATTGAGTGTATACTTGACGCATCCCCCCCCCCAAAAAAAACCCAATCATTCCTAATTAGAACGCCTATATCAGTACACTTTCCCTGCACCATTATACTCAAGTGATCATTCGCATTCTAAAGTTGATTTCCTTCGTCGACTGCATGGGTAAAATTGCTTATAATATTTATGCAGTAATTAGTTGCGAGGGTGAATCCGGCTGCAAAAATCCCGAAATTTCCTTTTTACTGCAGAATTTCCTTTTAGCCATGCAGAAACGCTTTGTATATGACAGGGGTGAGTTAACTGTTAACTGGTTTAGTGTGCCGGTCCCTTGACTGACGTCACCTTCTTATTGTAATTGTACATATAGGAAGTTATGCGATTGGTTCGTCCGTTCAAGTGTTGTGCTGGTTGTTGTTGGTGTGCAGACGCAGCTTGCTGCTCCTACGAGATCAATATCGAGTCACCACCGGGACAAGTCATTGGAAGCGTCCGGCAAATGTGAGTGTGGATAAAAGTGGCTTCTTCAAAATGATGTGCAACAATGCAAAACACATCCTCACAATATAATAGTGTTTGAATCCACAATGGTTTTGAAAGCATTATAGTATACAAATATTGACTCATGGGACTGCTTCGAGTGGTGTAGTATAAAACAAGCCTCCCGAGGTGAACCATGAAGCATTCTATTTTTCCCGAGGCGAATAGAATGCTTCATGGATCACCGAGGGCGGCTATAGTTTTACTACACCACGAGATAAAGCAGTCAATATTTGTTTTATAACACCTCTCCCATAGATTCTGCTTGTTTTTAAGCGATAACTGATTAATTTACTCTTATTTGAATGCGAAATTGAATGGAAATTCAACAAAATAAAAGGAGCAAACAGAACAGTTTTCATTCATGTTGTCGTCCAATGTGCACTCCCATATCGACAGTAGTCTCATCCCAAACATGTGGTAATTAGCGTACGTTCATGCAGATGTAAGGATGCCATTCTCTTTGCTTTAACATTGCATGTAAGCTTCGTTTCAACATTACTTTAATTAACGACAATATTATGCTCTATTTTTGTCACGAGCATTATTTCACCACTCCTGCGTATTTTCAGAGGAAGTAAGTGGAAACCTATGTATGAAATCCTGGATGATAGCAGAGCTACGGTGCTTAGGATTGGCGGACCATGCTGCCCTTGTCAGACAATCTGCTGCACTGCTGATGTGGACTTTAAGGTAAGCTGTACAATCTATTCTGATAATCACAATAAATTGCTGCAGTGAACTAGAGCACACTTCCAATAACTCTACTCCATTGGTCATGCATGATTATTACTCAAACAGCAAACATCAGGAAATACATACTTCTACAGTAGTCCGAGTAACTAGGACTATACGAATCGCCTTTTTTTGACATTTGGAGATGGTCGGGCTATAGTAGGGTCCTAGGATCATAAAGTACATGGCGGTATCAATAACCTCTTTTGACAATTTTCACTCGTACCCCCTATCAAAATCTTAAGATTTCACCCCAAAGCAGTCCTCAAACTGCCTGATGCTGCCCTGTAGCTTCAGTGGGAATGAAAATACAAATGGTGGTGGTTAGGTTCACATGCCTTTGGGAAGAAAAGAGAATTTCACCTTCAATTTGGGAAACGCATCCTTGTCGCACACGCCTTGTTGGAGGCTGCTATTTTTAATTCAGGAAAAATTGACTGGCATCATGTACAGATGCAGACTAATCACAGGGCACTTTGATTGGTCGCCATGGCGACCAATCCAGGAGACCAATCATAGTGCCCTGTGATGTCTGATGTCAATATTTAAAGAGTATATAGTAACGTCAAAGATAGGGCTTTTATCCGTCACCAAGTTTCCTCAAGTCCACATTATTTTGAAGAAGTATTGTGTAGTCAGCTTCATTACTGAGCAATGATTCTGATCTTTCCCGTTACAGATAAAGGGAAGTGATGGAGTAACTGATGTAGGCAAGGTGTCCAAGCAATGGGGTGGATTCTTCCGCGAGGTTATCACTCAGGCAGATAATTTCAGTTGCACATGTGAGTTAAGCTTACGGTCATGGTATATTTTGAACTTGTTGGTCGGATTCAGTTGTGGTATGTATTGATGTCTTTTGTCCAAACAATGCACCGTTACTGTGGTCTAGTGTAAGGGTGAGGCATGGACATTTTGAAGAAGTATTATTCCGATTAATGGTATTTCATAATGTTGCACAATGAATAAAGAAGTCATTACAAAGAACTTCCGGGGTTTGTTGTTCAGAACGTACTTTTTCCAATGCCGAATTGCGTTCAAGATATCGGGCTGGTTCCCGACCCAAACCAGCAGGCCTACATTGCAAAAACCGTGTTTAGCATTTGAACACTTTTCGAAACACTTTCTTGCTATTAGTTTGTAAACATATTTGAATACTAAACATGTTTAGAGCAAGGATGGATAGTGTTAAGCAATAATATTGAAATAGATGTTTTGGAATGTAATACATTATAATGTTTAACTTTTATGTTTACAAAGTGTAGCACGATTGTGTTTAATTGCACAGTTTTAAGAGTGTATCGTATGGGGGGGATTGAGGGTACCCTGAATTGTTCTTGTTGAAATTAGCCAGCCGTAGAAAATATGAAAAGGCTGGAGGGGGAGGGGGGGGGGGCTCTTGGTATCATTGGACGCTTTCGGGCGTTGATAGGAGGCTTCGCCTATCAGGAGGCTTTGCCGCCTCACCGATTAAATCATGAACACACTTACATAGACCTACACATTTTCCGCTTGGTATTGGCGATCGATGTACAAGATAATACAACTATATAGCTTATTGTCGCATAAGGTATCTTATTTTCTTTTCCTTTCCTATTTTAATCGCTACGTTGCTACGTAGCGGCTTCCCTGAAAACCAAAGAAATATTTCTTCGCCCAGAAGAGTTTTGTGAATCAAACGGAACTGAAAGTGGCGTTCCCCGTATAGGCCTATACTCTTAACATATTCCTTTTTTCCTTAATAAATTTTCAAATTGTATGTTCATTCCAACCAAAAAAACTCTTCCCCCCCCCCCCCCCTTCCTCTCTGGATATCTACAACCCTCTGAAAAAAGATTTTGTTTTGGGCAACAACAAATCCGCTTTACGAGCAGACTGACTCCCGGTCCGTCCGTACATTATCGATATTGTGGGTCTGGAACCATCCTATCCCGTGAGAATGGAATTATTGTCTGGCAGACTGGCAGTCAATAATTCGAAATTGTAAAGTAATAACTAAACAATGGACCCCCATTTTTCAGTTGATGTCTCATTCAAAAGTGACCAACTTTTGTATTGCTATATATAGAAAAAATTAGAAAAGGACTACTTTTCGGGATGACACTCGAAACTAGAACGGGAAAGCAACTTTAACGTTAATTTCTCCGTCCTGTGGGTTTTCAATTCCTAAAAGGATGTCGTGCCAACGGTATAAGATTTTCCCGTCCAAATTCATTTTTGATAGTTGATGTTGAAGTGCACTTGCCAATCAAGTTTTCTATAGTTTATTTCACACACTAAACACATCTATCAATTTTTTCAATCTTAGAGAAAACACAGGCCTACCTAAAACACGGAAAATAGCAGTTTTTGAATCTTTGTGGAGGACATCCAATTTTTACCTTCACTTTTGACAATTCTACTACATTATTAATTTACGTGGTTTTTCTCACTTTTTACGTTATTATTGTCTTGTAGTTCCAATGGACATGGATGTTCGAATGAAAGCAACTCTTTTGGGTGCTTCGTTTCTTATCGTAAGTATTAAAAACGATGTTCCTGATCCTCAATAAGTTATTCTGTAAGGTGTAGTTTAAAAAAAATATTAAAATATATACAGGGTGAGTCCAAAAAGGCGGAACCCAACCCCCAAAATTACATTTTATATTCATAAAAATGTTTAGCACTAAAAATAATAATGACTGGTAAGCCAATTTCAAAAGGTACTTTTGGATGGAAAAATGACTGAATTTGTCAATCCGTTCAGAAATGTGTTGGCATCCCTCTGTCTCGGAAGACAATGGAGTATCTGCGCCTTGGTCAGTCCGTTGAACTTGCGCAACGCCTGCTGTGGCTGTAGAGCCCAATGCGGGAGTTACAGGTCCTTTGGCATTTGCTGCAGGTGTAGTTGGTGGTGGTGGCGACGGGAGCTGCCTGATGCCTCTGCCGCCTGCGGGTCCTCCTTTCTTCCCACTGACTCTTCCTCCTCTCCTCGGCTTGCAGGACCCCTGCCGTGACAGTAGATCGCCAGGTGGCGCGATCTGATCATTGTGTTTAAATGGTGATATTCTTGAACAGATTGAGCAATTTTGGTGGGTTTTTTTTTACATCTAACAGTAGCTTATGAAATGGCTGTCCAGTCATTTTAATTGATGGTGCTACATATTTTTTTTTAAATATGAAAGATATTTTATGGGGTTTGGGTTTCGCTTTTTTTAATCACCCTGTAGCGCCTGCCTTATTCTACGAATTTACGTTCATAACTGTTGAGCAAAATTGCAAAGAAAACAAACCTTTATGCAGAAACGTAGTACATTATTCATAATGTAGTACCAGTGGTACCACTATTGTTACCGAGAATGTCCCATTTCTTTTAACACCGATATTTGCAGGTGTGATTTTGTGTGATAATTTCACCAGACTTAGGCCTACATGATGCATTTCAATATGAAGGTGTGAGATGTAGTGATGTACATTGCCGATAGTATATGCCTGATGAAATAACAACGCAAATTTGTGATTTAACACGCAACTTTTTACGAGCCGCATATACGTCTCCGACGCACCGTAAGCGTGTACTGAGCGGGCGTGCGATCCATCACTGAAATAAACTTCCAAACGTCCTTAAAGTTGCAAATCCAGCGGCTAGGTTTTTTTTTTTTTAAATAGAATGTTTAGTTTATCTATTGGGCCTAAAGACCATTCAATTTTATCACTTCTATATTTTTTTCAGGACTACATGTATTTCGAGAAGGAAAACAACAACTAACCGAAGACTTCCATGACATCAGCCGCCCATGGACGAAAACTTCACAAAAGAGAACAGAAGAAGTAGGCGTAGCTATACGGTTTAACATAGGCCCTTAACAGTCTTACAAAATGTTCTTAAGATCATTGTCATCTCACACACAACACTTGGGAAATCGTTTCTCATCTCTGGACCGAAGTTGATTGTGTCTAACGATCATATTGATTTCCCAATAATTTTGGCATGCACTTTTGTCAGGTTAACGTTGCACATATTGGTGTTACGCATCATTCACGTGTTTGTGTGTTATAATATCTGATTTCATTGAGTTGGCATTTCCCTTAATTAACTTGGTTCAATTTCGATTAATATTTTTAGAGATTTATTCGATTTTCAGATCAAAAATTTGAAATTATATATGCACAATTCAAAAATAAGAATTTCATTTTGAAAAGACTATACAGTTGTTGCTTTTGTGTTACCTGTAAGAGTACTTACTTATAAAAAAAAAACAAGGTGATATATGTCCGAATTCGAAGGTACGGCAGCCATCACTTCTTATACAGTCAAATTTAGTTCAAAAGTCATGATTCCGTATACCGTGATTGTACAAGTATGTTTTCCGTTTTTCATAAATACATTTGGACTTTTGGAAGGCAAACCAAATTACCGATGATCCATCCCTGTGCACTGATTATAAAGAGAAGTGTAGCCTTGCTATATAACACATAATCATTTCCGTTGATGTAGTACCGGTAGGACAGGTTTTAGTTTTAAATTTAAGGGGGGGGGGGCTATAATTAAAGAATGCATTGTACTCAAAAGTGGGCTAATGCGGTTCTTTTTTCGTCTATCACTTTAATTGTCGGGTTATTTTTAAATTCTTTTTTTTCTTTTGCATTCATTTTATTAGCTGTTGGCCCAATATGTATTCCAAATAGAAACAGACCCCTCCGACCGAGTAGACACCTTGCAACTTACTGTGATTATGAATAAAGGTCAGATAACTGGTAATTTGTTTTTGTTTTTTCAACCATCGGATCCGAGTGCGCATTACCAACGCGAGCGTCCATTTCCATTCGTCGTCTCCACGGCATCATGCCCGTCGCTAAGGGGGTCCGAGCTTGCAGCCTGGAGGCGTTGTAGTTATTAAAACCGTGGAGGAAGCCTATTTTTCAGTGTTGTAGTACTAGTAGGCCTACTCGAGTATTTTTTTCCGTACTCGTACTCACCCATTTTTTTTATCCTGTACTCATACTCGTACTCGAACGGTACTTATAGCAATCCAAGATTGCCGCCAAGATGGCCTCCAAGATGGCTGCCAAATTATAAAAATAATACTTTTTCGATTCCTCACACCCAAATCACCCCGAAAAAATTGTGCATTTGTCTTCCTATGATGCCTAGTTCAAAAGTTACGTCAAATAACAAAAGTTTCGTCGAAATCCAAGATGGCCACCAAGATGGCCGCCAAGATGGCTGCCAAATTATGAAAATAACGCTTTCATCGATTCCTCACACCCAAATTACCCCGGAATTGTCTGTCTATATCGATGCCTGATTATATTTCAGTAACCAATTTTCGTCGAAATCCAGGATGGAACCGCATGGAACAATATTTGATGTTGGGGACATCAAATATCTTTATTAGACAAAGGTTTACAAAAAAGGATGTTAGAAAATATACCCAGGGGTGCATGGGAACCCTGTATTCCTACTAGACTACTACTTGTTCCAGTTTTACTCTGCAATACATGTACATGTGGCTACACTTCATGAAGTTCATGGTTTAATTAAGTTGTTCAATTGTGTAAAGTTGAGAATGTTCACCTTTGTTCATATGTGTTACGTTCATGAACTATCTCGTTTTGTCTTTAATGTGTGAAAAGTCCCAGGGAGTATAACGTTCCCATGAAAATGTACTCGTACTCGTATTCGTACTCGTACTCATGGAAAAGTACTCGTACACGTTCTCATGGAAAAGTACTCGACTGCTATTTTTGACTTCCATTCGGACTGTATGAAATGTGAATAATTAATCAAAATAAAAAGCGCACTCTACCCCTAAAACCATCCCCCCCCCCCGCTTTCGAATTTGCATTTTCGGTTGCCCGGAAAATTGAAGGAAATGTTGGGGCCGTCCTTGGTGCTCCCGCACTACGTGCTGGTGCCCCCCCCCCCCCCAAAAAAAATCCTGGCTATGCCACTGGCCCCAGCCCCCCCCCCCCCCCCCAACAATAAGCGATGAACTACAATTGTTTTTCTTGTGGTTTGCCTCCGGCCCCCCCCTCCCCCTCTTAAATTGTGTGCCCCCCCCCCCCTCCCCCCTCCCCCCCCCCCTCCCCAAACAAAATAGCCGGACTGACTCACAAACCTTTTGAAAGGAGGACTGCGAATTACCTCGGGCGTTGGCCGATGAGTGCGCGCACAGGCCCGGCAAAAACGATGTCACCTAGCCCGACTGCGTCTGGCCGTACAGTACTATCGCAAGCTCTGTAGTACGGAGCTTGCGATAGTACTGTACGGCCAGACGCAGTCGGGCTAGATGTCACCGTGCACGGTTCGACCACGTTGGCCGATGAGTGCGCGCACAGGCCCGGCAAAAACGATGTCACTGTGCACGGTACGACCACGTTGACCAGCGAGTGCGCGCACGGGCCCGGCAAAAACGATGTCACTGTGCACGGTACGACCACGTTGACCAGCGAGTGCGCGCACAGGCTCGGCACAAACGATGTCACTGTGCACGGTACGACCACGTTGACCAGCGAGTGCGCGCACGGGCCCGGCAAAAACGATGTCACTGTGCACGGTACGACCACGTTGACCAGCGAGTGCGCGCACAGGCTCGGCACAAACGATATCACCGTGCACGGACAGCCAGCCATATCCCTCCGATCTTCCGTTCGTTTCACTGATTTTCTTTTCGAAAATAGGCAACTACTCGGGTACGACTTGACTCGGGTACGAGTTGACTGGGGTACGACTTGACTCGGGTACGACCTAACTCGGGTACGACTTGACTTGGGTGTCAATTTTGGGGTACGAGTTGACTCGGGTACGAGTTAACTCGGGTACGAGTTGACCCATTTCCTGTGAGAGCAACAGCGCCCTCAGTTTTCTGGAAGAGAATCCCTTTAAAAAAAAAAAGAAACCAAAAAGGGATCATCAGAGGAATAGAAAGAGTTTACATAGCTCCATGCACAGGCTAATCCGTTTCGTTAGTAAAAACGTCACGCACGCGCACCACTGATTACTAGCGCCCATTGGCTACAAACACTCGAGCTGCTTTAACTTCCGGTTCCAATCGTGCAGAAAGTGCTGGAGGTGACGTCACACTAACGAACCGGATAATTGTCAAGATCAAATTTATGTCATGATCCTTTCACAAAATTAATGTGACGTGTTTGGTACGGTTACGATTACATCATGATCACACGCACGTTCTATTTTTAACTTTGACGGTACCCAGACGTATGATCCATTCAGACACGTCCTGTGATCGTCCTTTCATGGAACCAGACTGTGGTTGTAATTGATGTCGCGTCAAACTTTCCACTCAGTCTGAATGGTGAAAGTGACGTGCGCCCGTTGTTGCTGGAGTGAAGGACCGCTGGTTTTTGGAAATCTACAACAAAATTGAGTAGGCCTACTCATAAAATCATAGTCATACACAACACAACCAGGTCTTTTCGTAACTCCAGAAGTAACTGAGGTTGTTTTGTCGAAATCATGGCGGCGCCAGGCAGCGTAGTAAGTAACGAATAATTTCCCCAAACGTTTCACACATTGTCATGATTGTCATGATTATCGATTGTGGATTTTATTTAGGGGCCCTATACTAGTATAGTATTAATTACTAGCCTAGTTTCTAAATTCTAGTTAATACTTACCAGAATTTCGGTAATCGACAAATGACAGTTTAGGATCCCATGCATTAGCCTAGTCCGAGTAACTTGGACCCAACTTATCGATATGTTGGGTCCAAGTTACTCGGACTAGCATTAGCCCCATAAATGTGGCTGAAATACTTTTGCGATTGTGTACAAAGTCTATGGAGAGTCAAGAAATTTTTTCTAAGTATTTCCATGGAGGTTGTACCGGTAGATGCTCCGTGTTACTCATTCAGTATTTCATTTTCAGCAACATTTCGGCTAGACCCTTCAATACTTCATGTTTATGGGAAAGTCAAAGAGTTCCCTTGTGCACAAATCCCAAAGGCAATATGACTGAGACTGTCGAAGGGGGTTCTGTTTAAAACCAACATTATGCACACTAACGCCGTAACGGACAATATATTTTGCTTTTCAGGGCGATACATGCGTGAAATACGAACCAAAAAAAAAAAGCCGGTTTTACAAAAAAGGCACAACATCTTTTTAAAAAGGGCAGTTATTCAGACAAATAGGGTACTTCTTACAAAAAACGCAGTGGCTATTGTTACGGCAGCCGTAACGCATTTCCCATTTTCTATCGTTACGGTAGACTGCAACCTGGCAACTTTTATAAAAAAACATGACAAGAAAATATAAAATTAGAAGGAAAAAAGTGAATTTGAACTTTATGAAATTCGGACTTTATTTCCCTTTTAAAAAAATCCTCCAAAGCCTCAGGTTAGAAAAGGAAAAAAATTCGAGTGCAAAACTGAGATTCGAACCCGCAACCTCGCGGTGCAAAATCCTACCCTCTATCGGCTGAGCTGGCGCACTGCTCGATAAAACGTGTGGAAACAAATAATTATATACCTGCGTGCGTATCAAAAAAATATCGTAGAGGGCGCTAAACAACGAGTGCCGTAACGATAGCCACTTCGTACAAAAAAAGGCACTCTTTACAAAATATTGGGGGGGGGGGGTAAATGCTGGTGAAAAAAGGCATTAGAATGGAAAAGGGCAGTCTTTACAAAATATTGGGGCCCCCCCCCCCCCCCCCCCCCCCCCCCCCCCCCCCCCCCCCCGTGGCGACGCCCATGCGGAAAGAATGTTGCATCCTGATGCCACTTTGTTTTTAATAGGCCTACAGGCCTATCATAAAGGTCTGTCATTGTAAAGTTGTTGAAAAGACATGAATCTGGGAGTGAGAAACATTTCCAACTTTGTTAGGAAATACTTAAGAATTTTTCTTGACTCTCCATACATGCCATACACTTATGTACACAACCGCTGTAGTGGCGTCTTGATACTACATCAGTAGGCCCTACTGTATGTACATTCTTTCCATTTTCCCTGCTAAGGCCAAAAAGAAATAGTTCTGCTTCCGGTTTCCCTACCTACCTTGTTCTGACAGCCCCTTCCCTTTTGTTATTTGTGGGGAAAATGACAACAAAAACCACCCAAAACCATCAATTTCTACCTTTTACCCTTGACTCATATGATCATACACAAAAAAATTGGCTAAATTTTTTTTTTAAATTCCCTACCTGCCTGCCCTATTTTCAAATGCCATGTAGTCGTAAGCAGAAGTATATATATTTTTTTGGCCTAAGTTTGACTTTTTAGGACATGATATCACTTTCTGATGGCTGATGGGTCATTGCGGGGGAAAAATAGTGATGTCCATGTATCCTCGACCCTCCATTATCTGCGCAGGTAACACTTGCAATGCGCACGCGTTGTCATACACAAATTGACGTTGAGCATGTTGAGTGCGTAGAAAAAGGACCATGTAGCTATTTGCAAACATTTTATTTTATTGATTGGAAAGTAACTTCCCAAAACAATTTGACATATTTCTGATAGTTTCACCATGCATTTATTGACAACTTGTGTAACTATACAAATCTAAGTTTGAAATTAAATAAAGTTGAAATTAAAAACAAAACAATTATATTTTGTGTGGCATGTACTATGTTTGTTTTGTATACATGTGTGTATCTATAGGACATATTCACTGTTTTTATAGTACATGAATAACATGGAGCCAGGGTGCATGGAGCCAGGGTGCATGGAGCTTTAGCAGTTAGCTAGCGCCATGGCTACATGTATGCATGCTATGTTGATGTTTTGTCCACTTATCTTCCTCCATGGAAGTACATGTATTGCATGCATGGGTGGCTTGCCTTTCTAGTGTGCCTTTATGTAAACATCTGGCCAGCAAGAGTTATGTAATAGCATAGTGACAATAGATTAACATGTCATCATTGCACCAGTGCCATAGAGTTGTAAATATGCATACATCGTTGCAGGGATTCATGTACATTTTGATCATGTGTACCGTACATGTACACAAAAAATACCAGTAACAACATGTCTAAGCTAAAAATAGTTATAGAAAGATTCATGCTTTTCCTCAGATTCTTTGCAGATTTGGATAGACTCATTAATTGTTACATACTTATACATGACTGAAAGGGAAAATACAACATTTGCAAACATCAAAAAATAAAACTACCAAATCATTTTGAAATACCTTGCTGGACTGTTAGTGAATGACAGTGTAAAGCATCCTGTAAAATCACGGCACCTGGTATACTGTCATTTTCAAGAAAAGTGGTATTTTTGTATCAATTTCCAACGCTGGTTGGCCGACCAGCGTTGGAAAAAACTGGCTTATTTTCAAATACTGGCCCCAATTGACCATCGCACTTGTTTGCAATCGATTACACACCTATGAACGGGTACAAGCCAGCTAGACTGTTCCCTGACCTTACAATTCCCCAATGTATGTAAACTGCTCTGTTTCTTCTTATATGGAGTCAGGGAACCAGACTACAGGAAAATGATTGTTTTTCTTGGTTTTTATAGCATTTTCGAACCCAAAACCTCAAAAAAGTCAGTGTAACTATATTTGCTATATATTTCCACCTCCGCAATTCCATCCATTTCTGAAAATTACAGCAAAAGCAAATGATGTATATTCCCTTTAACAACATGTAAAACCATTCATCACCATGTGTGATCATGGGTACATGCATCTTGTAAAACAAACACACAATTGAGATTGCCTGAAAAAGTCCCTTCTAGTCATTTTTTCTGGTGCCATACAATTGATGATGTATACCTAGCCTTGTAGTGTGATTTTCATGTACAAACATAATTCTCTGACTGTCATTTATGAAATTAGGCTGAGAAATGAGCAAGGCAGTGCTATCATTTATTTGAAAAGTCAATAAGTAGAAATAGGCCTACTCGAGTTTTAAAAAAAAGAAACCTAAATGGCAGGACCAATTTTCGAATGAAGTTTTGCCTGCTCCACTTTTAAAATCTATTCTTTATGATATGAAAGCCCAATCAATAAGTTTTCTTTTTGTACAAGAATCATTCAAACATGTTCTTTTCAAGTTAGGGACTTTTTAACACAGACGCTGTTTTAAAGATCTGTCCACGGATCACGAAAAAAGTAAGTGTTGTTTCAGCAAAACTAAATCGATTTACACACATCCCTTGTCGTTTTTACTCCAAATTCCCTAACTTGAAAGGTACATTGAGTGATTTGAATGATTCTTGTAGTTGTACTAAAAGAAAGCTTAGGCCTATTTATTGGGTTTTCATGTCCTAGATTTTGAAAGTGCTACAGGCAAAACTTCATTCAGGAATTGGTCCTGCCATTTTTATTTTATTTTTTAATTTTTACTCACCCTGTACGGTAATACTGTGAGTAGGTCTCGCAGTAATTTTGAAAAGCCACAAGGGCAAGTCCAAGAAAACATACATAACGGTCTCTTTTTGTCGCATACGTAACACCATATTTTCTTAAATTACATTATCATTGCTAAGACTGATAATGGTATACAAATTCTTGTGGGTATTCTCCTTGCAGATGGCCAACAGTCTAAAGACTGAAAAGCACTGAAATCCAGACAGTTAAACTTTTGTAATGTATGGCACGTAACAGGAGCGAAGTGTTAGACTTGCCCACAAATGTATGGAAAAAAAGCTGCTCGAGAAGGGTGTCAATTTTAATTTCATTTTAAATGCAAGTTTGCATTCCGCAAGCAAATCTTTGTCTTCATTTGAACTTCATTTTGTAAATTGCACGGATGTATGGTACATGTTGGTGGTAAGGCCAAAAAAAAAATAGTTCTGCTTCCGGTTTCCCTACCTATCCTATTCTGACAGCCCCTACCCTAATTATTTTTGGGGAAAAATGAGGATCAAAAATAACACCCAAAACCATCAATTACTACCTTTTTCCCTTGACTACACGCAGACGCCTCCATATGATTGTACACAAAAAAATCCCCCACCCCCCCCCCCAAAAAAAAAAACAAATTGCCTACCTTATTTTTGAATGCCATTTAATCGGAAGCAGAACTATTATTTTTGGCCTTGCCACCTTCATACAGTACTTGGGGTTACATACATGTACATTCCCTCTGTGGTGATCAATGAAAACCTGTGCAGTGTTTGTCTGGTTTTGAAGCAGGTTGAAGTGAAGCAACCCATGGGTACCGGTCCGGCCGGTCAGCAGTGGATGGCCATGCCTCAGATCAATGTCCCAGGCATTCCTCCAGGCTTGGAGTACCTCACCCAGATAGACCAGCTACTCATGCATCAACAGATTGAACTCTTTGAAGCATTGACCAACATTGAGTGCAAGAACCGCTACGCCATCAAAAACTCCCTGGGACAACAGGTGTTTTTTGCCTTTGAAGGTAAGAGTTAACATGACAATCACTGCCAATATGTTGAGGCAGAGGCAGTGACATCCTGGAGCAGTGCAGAGGATTTCAAGTATAATTTAGGCCTAAAATTGTACACGGCTGAGCACAACACAAGGTCCGGCCCAAGACCTTGACACAGTGCATCCTCCAAAACACATTTTTGCCATATAAATGTAGCCTCAATCCTGCGAAATCCTCCATTTTGCAAACATGGCGAAGAGAATATGGAGGATTTGGGATGGTTGGGGTTAAAGAAACCCAACCTACAAAAAATTCAAATCTGCCTACATGTGCCTACATGTACAGTGCCTACATGTACAGTGCCTACATGTACAGTGAGCATATACGGTAACTTTATGATGTAAACTGCAACTTTCGTGAGCATCACAAACATGAAAAAAAATAGGTTTTGTTTTCCCATGTAGCCTGGTTTTCATTTTTAAAATTCCCCACAAATGACGTTGAAAACCTTTTGTTTTCATTGCCTGAGAAGTTACTAAGTAATTGTAAAGTTGGATAATACAAGTACCCGATTCCATAATCTGGAACCAGTTCCTGACATCAGCGGTCGGGCGGTCGGGTACTCGGGTACACAGTTCCGATGCACAGCCTTAGTCAGGAATTAGCTTTGCCTTTGCATAGTCTTTATTGACTAGGCTCAGAATGTTTTTTTGTAATTGTAAGATGAAAGCCTAGTCAGGATTTTGACCAATCACTGTGCATCTTTAACCCTAACGCACCTGAATCCATCAAAATCCACCCCCCTGTTTCGGGGAATTTCGGCAGATTCAGGATACCTCCATGCTGCACAAACTGGGGGATTTTGATGGATTCAGGATTGTTAGCCTAGCGGAACTGCAGGATTTTGATATATCCAGGATACCTCTATATTGAGCTGTTGGGGGACTTTGGCGGATTCAGGATCTCAACAGATTTATTCCCGCCTAACTGGTGTATTCTGATGGACTCACTGGCCACCAACATTTTTTTGCATGGCAAAATTGATGGATTCAGGATACTTTCTAGTAAAAGAGCCCAAGGGTTAGGGTTAATGTATCATCAACAATTTCCTCACAATTGTACATTTTGATAAGATTTGTTATTTTGAATTTGTACCAGAGTCTGACTTCTGCCATCGCATATGCTGCGGAGCACAGCGTGGATTCCTCATGCATATTGTGGACAACCAGTCTCGGGTAAGTCACACATGCTGTCCTTGGGATTTCCACCATTCATGAATGCAAGGTTCTGAATGTTCCAAGTCTTTTGGGGGCAACTCCGAATCTGTACAATTCTAACACATAAACATGACCTCAACCCTTTCCTTACCATGGGCGACTTGTGTTGACAAGGGAGAACCCCCCCCCCCCCCCAGAAACCACACACAGAACACCCTCAACACATATTTATTCACTACTTAGAAAGGCAGCATGTTGATATGTTTGGCCGCCCATACATCAACCATATACCAGCTGAAAGAGTGTGTTCAGATCATTCTAATGGTGTAGTTAATTCATGGTGATACCATTACAAAAAAAAAAATTAAAAGTGCTTCAGAGGTATCCACACACAATTTGAGGTATGGAGTGCCATGTGTTCAACTTGTGGTCCATTTTCCACACTCTAGTGACTTACGCATGACAGGGAGAGCCATGTCAATAAACAATGTGGTAAGGAAAGGATTAACTAAAAATATTTCATATGATTAACATATCTGCTGGTGTCGGTAGGTTTTAACAAGTACTTGAATATTGAAATGGTTAAGCTAGTGATGATTTTCAACTCGATCAAAAGCGAAACAACTGGCTTTTGATAAGAATGATTTTGTTTTGTTTTCTGAAACAGGAAGTGATCCGTTTGGAGCGTCCATTCAAGTGTTTTGCCGGCTGTTGCTGGTGCGCTGATACTGAGTGTTGCTCCATGGAGATTCAGATTCAGTCTCCACCAGGACAGGTTGTGGGATACTGCAGGCAGATGTGAGTCATGTCATTTCAGATATATGTAGAAAGACTCTAGGACCACTCAGGATCATACACATGGAATATACCTATTTACTATACCTCATACATATTCATGATCGAGAGCCGAATTCTCACTGGTCCATTCACCATCACGTGCCAGCTGTTATTTTTGCTATTTACTAGGTGCGCACGCGAGTATTCATGCACAGGGTAAATACGCATACATAGTAGACTATCGCATGGGTTAGTCCACTACGCATGCACTTTACAAATCAATCTTGGAACTATCGCACGTGTGTAGTAGGCACGCGGGAACAGCGCCCTAGCTAAACATAAAAAGATGACGGCACAAGTAAATGTTAATTGGAGCTCATTGATGCCGAACTGGAGAGAATATTGTGGACAATAAAATGCCTCGTCTTCTAATAAAAAAGTTTTCCACAATGCGGTAGATCTTAGGAGTTACTGTAATGCAAAAGAACTGCACTTTTCTGAGGTTGAACAATAGTCTTCTCGTGAGCTGGACAAGTTTCTCCGAAGATTTTATGCCGTGGTGGGAGCTGCAAGAGGAACATTCGGTAACTGAATATGTATAGGGTTTAGTAAAACAAACAGTTCCTTTTGATGGAGTTTTGTGCATGGAAGTTATTATTTTTTGCTTGAGATTTTTGTTAGCATTGTCTTTTGGACAGAAAAAGGAAGCCTTCATTTTTATAGAGTAGATTATGATCAGTCAACCCCCAAAATTGTAAGTGAATAGTAGACGCAATGATTAATCATCAAATAATGGAGTAATCTTGGAGGGCTAGACTGGTTCCTGGCTCCTCCATTGTCCTTCGGGCTTCGAATGTAGGGACAGGTAGCGGGCAATGAATCCTGAATAGGAGGTTCTCCTTCTAATGTATGCAAATTATATGCAGCAATAGACAGGTGTCCAGTCCCTCCATTGTCCTTAAGACCCATATTGTGGGAGAAGGAACCAGTCCACGGGCTTGTAAATTAGTCTAGGTCTGATTCCCGGCCCCTCAGTACAAAATCACAACGATAATGGAAGCGCAGAACCACCCTCTTGTGAAATGGCGGTTTGTGTGGTGATGACTTTTGATTTTCGCTGCATTAGAAAATGTCTCTGGCAACTATCAATAAAGTGAGGGGCACTGCTTTTCAGTATTTGAAACCTATATGCAGTTAACATTCTTGAAAGCTGCCTTTGTGGAGACACTAATAGCAATTTTGCCTGCTGGTTATGATAAAAGTAAGTTTTCTGATAGCGATGTGTTCAGCTGTCATCCATATGCAACACTGTAAACATCATTTTCTAAAATAAAAACCATACTGCTCCTGCGCAGGTGATCCAGTCAATGTCTTAAAATGCGAACTAGCTACCGGTCCCCATATTTATTTAGGGGGGGGGGGACCAGTCTACCTTCAAGGACTTAATCCCAGTCCCAAGTCTTGAAGGTTATTCCCTCTTTCAACTCTCATTCATTGGAATCGTTTTTGGCAGTGGAAGCAAGTGGAAGCCGATGTATGAAGTGCTGGATGCCAACAAGTCTGTGGTGTTGAAGATCAATGGACCTTGCTGTGCCTGCCAGACCATCTGCTGCACCGGCGATGTGGACTTTAAGGTCAGTAGTGATTAGGCAACCACTAAACAAGTTCTTTCGCAATCAGCATGCACCAACAACCACACGGGGACCAATGGCCCGTCCCACACTGAAGTGGGGGGGGGGGGGGATATATCCAATTCCCCCCCCCCCCTTTCCCCTGGGATTTACACCCTTGAGTGCTTGTATACAGGTTGCATTATGTGGGTTGAAAGTTCAAAATAAAAGGTTCTTGAACTAAAGACGACCATGCCCAAGTTCAACCAAATTTTGGATAGTAGGACATCACAGGTCCTCATAATTAGTCCGCCATAATTCATCCATTCCCATGTCAAGGTGCTGGTTGCATTAATTGATATCTTGAGATTCAGTCGGGAGTTTTGATCTATTAATGTTGCAGGTGTGTGGGACAGATGGAGTGACCGAGGTTGGTAAGATCTCCAAGCAGTGGGGCGGCTTCTTCCGTGAAATCATCACCCAGGCTGATAACTTCAGCTGTTCTTGTGAGTAGAAATCAAACCCTGTTATCAAACACTACGAGGGCAACTTGGAAGTAGAAGATTTGCAACAGATATATGACAATGTTATTGTCTCGTAAGACCTTGTGTGTGTGTGAAACTTAAAGCATGCTTTACGGTAAATTCCTCAGAATTTGGAACAAGCGATTTTTGTTTGCTGTCTGTGGGTTCAATATGCTTAATTAACCATCAGGCAGCTCATATTTACATGTGTAAAGGGCATACAGGTAGGGTTTCATCTAGGACTTCCAAAAGTGCCTGTCATACCGTGGTGCACTTTCAAAAGTACCCATCCTCGTGGCAAGCAGGACTGTCGGCGCTTCATTCTCGTGTGATTCGATGATGGATGTACGAACATGTCTTGGGCGCATTTTGTGTAATATTATTTGCGCGATCGACTGATAGAGCTGCGCAAAAGATAGATAGATTGCTCACCAACACATCCACTTTTTGTTGCGATTGATCTATCACGCAACAAAAAAGACATATTTTGCTGCGCGATCGGGCTATCGCGCAAGCAAATCAACAGAGGGCACCCATTATACACTGGTGTCCGTGGTGCCGAGCACAAATGCGTTAAATGGTTACAGGCACCAGCCCAGGCAAATTGGAGACATCGTGAACGTGTGCATGCAGTGCAAATGTCCGTCATGTGCGTGTGTTTATGCTGTTGCATGGAGCTATAAGTGCTGCACAGAGCACGTGGCTGACTGGCAGCTGATTGTTCGCGTCGATTAAGAGGTATTTTGGGTATTTTTCGTGTTTTTTTTCTGAACAAAAATACAACTTACTCGCTTCGTTTTTATATAATTTTTTCCAAACAAAACCCACCCGTCATTTTTAATGTCCATTTGCCAAAATTCTACCCGTCATGTTTTATTGTCCATTTCGCAAAGTGCAAAATCACAAACTCACAAACTGCCAGTCCAAAAGAAGGGGTGGACGGGTCGCTAGATGAGACACTGTATACAGGAACATTCATAATTACCCAGAATCTGACCTACCAATAAAATATGAAACACCTTGCTCAAAGTGAAAACAGGGATGCTACCAAATACTCGGTGAAAATATTCCGCCTGAAATGGTGTCGTTCAGTAGAAAACAATCATCGAAGGTGGGTTTACAAATTGACCTACATGTATCGCCGTTTGTGAGTTGGCCACGCCACTTGGACAACCCTATGGACTTTTGTACATTTAGTTTTGTTTGTATCAGATTTTGCGCATCCTGCGTTCATTTGTATATATAATGTAATTAGACAATGTTTCACAAGCTGTGTTGACGCGATTCTACTACAATGGGTTAATTGTGTCCTCTAGCAAACTTTTTTTTACATGTTTTACCAACGGAATCCTGTTATTTATAGTATCTACTGAGCTAAAACTTCAACATGCTAGTTGTTATGCACAATACTTAAAGCTCCAGCTACTTTTTGCTCCAAAGGGAAAACTGCAAAGAAAGCAAATGATCCTTCATACATTTAAATGGTTTTGGCACATGTTCATCTACCTCCTTTGACAAGTGTATGTGGATCAACATTTTCCCCCTTGTCATTCCCCAGCCCCCAACCGCACCCCCCCCCCCCTCCGCCCACCCACCCCACCCCAATTCAAATGATAATGTTGCTTCTTCATTTGTGACATTTCTTATTTTCTAGTTCCGATGGATTTGGATGTGCGCATGAAGGCCAACATGATTGGGGCCACTTTCCTCATTGTAAGTCTTTGTATTCTTTTGTTGTTACTTTTTAGCCCATTTACAATCAAACATGTATTTGAGAAGAATGGTGTTTTTCAATCCAGAGGAATCTCATGATGCAAACATGTCAGATATCAAAATGTACTCATCCGGTTTGTTGTCTGATAGTTGGAATTTTGGTTCAATACAATTTCTGTGTTAAGTAGATTTCTGTCTCCATTATATGTCATCTCATTAAATATGCAGGATAAATTTGAGACAAGTTTATCGACAATAGGCACCATTGTCATGGGCATTTTGGGTGTCAAATTTTTGTGACGCGCATAAGCTGCGCGGTATTTCGAGGCCATTTCGAGAACCACACACGCTTGTTTAGAACACTTTGCACACGAACATGCACATGATTGCGTTGAACACACAATTGAGATTTTCCTACGAAGATGGCGTCCTATGAGAGAGATCTATAGTGTTCGAGTATTGATTCTGCACTCACTTCACAGAAAAAAAGTTGTGGAATTGTTCATTGTTTTATACCATATTTTGTCTTTTCAGGACTACATGTTTTTTGAGCAGAAGGACAACAATTCTTAATGGGCAAGTGAGCTCTGTACTCTTCATCAGGGAGACATTCATGTGGTATGTTGCAAGAGTCAGCACAGCAGGAATCCATCTTAGTGTAGTCCTCTTGTTTGATGGACCATTTTGTTTCTTTCTCTTTGCCGACGTGTTACTGTTTTTGTTTCTTTCAATTTCCATGTACTAAACCTCTGTGTGATCTGAATAGATCTAATGCATTGTGGCTTGCTCGGGGTGTTCTTTGGTATTTAGATTGTGTAACAATGAACGCAAACAAGGCTCATCCAAGCAGTACAAAACCATTGCCCTATACTCCGCCTTAATGCATAAGGTCTGTTGATGATGAGAAAGTATAGATTGTACATGTATCTGTATTTTGCTACATCTATTGGCATTCACTTAGGGTTTAAAATGTAGTTTTAAAGAGAAAATATTTGAAATTTGGGAATGTCCATTTGTTTTGTTTTTTATAACAGTCACAAAAATGTTTTTATTTTTATATTCAAACCAAATCTAAATACATGTACATGTTGTTCAGAAGTATTAGTTTTCAAAGTACCATTGTGCAAGTAGCTTGCAATGGTCAGGATTACCTTCATGCATTGTTTAGGCATTATGTGGCACAGCAACATAGAGCTGTATCTTCAGGCAAACTTGAATCCTCGGTCCTGATTTGGCGATCCATGGCAACGACAGTGTATTATACCTAATAGCACGGTCCGTATTGCGCTATGCCGAGATGCGCGCGCTGTTCTTTCTGCACGTACATGTACTTGTAATAGAATAACCACTATAAAAATAGTGTACCCGTGCGTGTTCCATCTTTACTGTGCGTCAAGTTTGCTTGAAGATGAATTTGTTATCCCACTCGCGCTCGTGGAACACGGAAAATGTACTGCATCTTGCGTCCCACATAGGAACACAGATACACTACATTATTCTGTGTTCCACTCGCGCTTGCAGGATAACTAATATTATCTTTAAGTAAACTTGAATCCTCAATCCTGATTGGTCGATCCATGGCAACAAGCCGTGCTACATATAACCATGTAGCACGGCAATGGTCCATACCGCACTCCACGCATTGCGCTATTCTAAGAAGCGTGCGCCATTCTGTACAAACACGCAAGTGTAATAGGATAACCGCTGAAAATTTTTTAGTGCATCAAGTTTGCTTGAAGATAAATTTGTTATCACGCTCGCGCTCGTGGAACACGGAAAATGTAGTGCGTCTGTGTGGGACACAGACGCACTACATTATTCTGTGTTCCACCCGCGCTCGTGGGATAACATATAATATTACATTACTTGAGGGCTCAGTTGCAGTGGGGATTGAAATAGCCATGTTTGTGTACAAACCAATAGAAAGGAAGTTCAAAATTGTGTTGTATTTTTTGGTATAGTTTGCCAATCTGAGTGAGTTTCATTCAGTGCGTTATCACAGCTGATATACCAAAAAGCAAAACAAATTTTACAAATCAATCCACATGTGTCTACTCTGCAGATGTTCAACATGCTTCAGATTTTTTTTCCCCGTCATAACTCCTAGAAAACGCACCAATGCAAGCGCAATTGTTGCACATTGTTGGTTTTGCACTTAGTATCTTCTCCAAGCACGCACCTGAATTCAAATATATTTAAAGTGAGTGAGTGAGTGAGTTTTGATGTAACTCTGTATGTTTTGCTGTACCTGAATGAGTTGGTTGAACTGTGTTGTGTAGGGAAACTGTCATTCATGCCATAATTATAATGAGGACAGATTCTCAGCAATGTGGTGCATATATTGATGCACCTCCAGTGGTATAATGTGTGCTTGTACATGTACTTGCATGAATGGATTATGTGATAAATAGTGAATTGTTGAGAAAGTATTTATGAACAGAAACACTGCACGAATACCAAAGACACATAGAAATTCATTCAGGTTTTTGAAGAGTTCTTTTTGTATTTTATAGCTGTTTCAATATCTACAACATAGGTCTACAGGGTAGTTACATGTAAACTTATAAGCATCTAACCTTTTTTTCTATTCACAATTGATAGGTATATGTACATGTATATTTTTTGTCTTTTATTTTTTCTAAAATCTTGCAAAATATCGGTTGACCTTGTAAAACGTGAGGGTTTTGGGGGGTTTTGGGGGTTGTTTTTGTTTTGTTTTTTGTTTACACATGCTATCATATTTTGTATACATATGCTATCACACTGCACACAAAAGCATTATAGCATTTTTACTCTACTTATAGAAATGTATGCCCCCAGTTTGCTTAGACTGTGAAACGTCTACATGGTGGTGTGAAAAAAGGGGGGAAAAGTATTTAACTTTTTTTCTATTCACAATTGATAGGTACATGTATGTATGTATATTTTTTGTCTTTTATTTTTCCTAAAACTTTGCAAAATATCGCTTTAAGGACCTTGTAAAACATGAGGCTTTTTGTGTTTTGTGGGTTTTTTTTATTAACATATTTTCTAGCTTTTTTTAAAAATTTTTTTTTAGGAAACTCTTGTTAGCGTTTCAACTTTCATAGTGCAAGAAGTTATTAACTTTTGAATATATGTATTTAAAAGTTCACATGAAATGAAAGTTCATATGAAATGGCTGTTCCTAAAATGTGGGCTTCATCAATAATGTCATGCCCTGGAAAAAAATATAACCCTAACAGTCCTGAATCCTCCAATTTCAATATGATTTTGCACACCCCCTAGGGAGTTAGGGTTAATCACACTGCACACAAAAGCATTATAGCATTATTACTCTACTTATAGAAATGTATGCCCCCAGTTTGCTCAGACTGTGAAACGTCTACATGGTGGTGCAAAAAGAAGGAAACCCACTTCTGACATGAATTTTAACCTACTTACTTAACTTATTTAAACTGTTTTTTTTTTGTAATGTAGTGAAGTATAGCTCTTTAACCATACGTGGTGACAAAAATCTATAAGAAAAAAAACCCGCAAGAATAGTGTTATTATGCTAATTTGAATACAAGTCACCAAAATCACTGTTGTCCACATGTAAGTCTAGTGTAGCGTTTTTGTCTTCAAATCAAGCTCCGGAGCTCAGTCAAGCGGATGGAATAAAGCCGTCCGTGTACAAACAGGTTTCGCACATGAAATTTGTAAACTACCATATCTCATAGACAAAATATGAAAATGCAATCATTGTTTCGTTACTTATGTTTAAAGATCAATATTTTAATACCATTAAACTGAATTTTTGAAATATGCTCAACAAGTAGGTGAACATTTGTATTAAAAGTAGGTTTTCTTCTTTTGCACCACCCTGCAGTTGTGGTGTTTTTTTTCTATTCAGTGTAATTCACTTGTAATTGAACACTGACGGACCTGTAACATCGACATCAGAATATCAAGTCTTTCGTAGAACACTGCAAAAACTGTAGTGTTAATTTAACACCAATCGGTATCTATATAGGACAACACCGGTAAAATTTAACACCAGATGGTCCTATATAGATACCAATGGTGTAAATTTAACACTGCGGTTTTTGCAGTGAACCACTTATCAGTATCAGTATTCTTCCTCAGGAGACTAAAGAGGCTATCCTAGAGTTACTACTTCAATAGTCAAAGCTTATTATCAGGCTGAACTCATAGCATGAAATATTGGATATACAATGTAGTTGTAGTTTCGTCGACCTAATACTTTTTTATCTACCATTCATTATTTAAATTGAAGCACTACGTTTTTATTCACTGTATTATTATTACCAAATATGGGCAAAAATTGTTCCTGGTCCTGAGAACACCAAAAAAATACCACAGTCCTAACATAGGTTTGACAATTTGTAAACTCTATAAAGGTTGAATTATCTCAATGGGAAACGGTGAATCACTTGCCCCTCTGGGCCCCACCTATTTCTCTCAACCAGAAACGTGATCTGAAGGATTTTTATAACATTCTGTATTAAAAGAGGATGGATCGACTGCTACTGAAGCACACTGGTTAGGTATGAATCTGATTGGAATTTAGATCACTAAAGAATAAATGTTAGGCAGAGCCCTGGCGTTATTGCCATAACATTCCAGTTCAGTAAAATTGGTTGATAAACGTCATGTCACAACACACGGTATAAGGTTTGAAGTGGGGTTAGACTCTCGCTAGTCTTGACTTGTTCGTATAATCAATTAATTATTCACTAGGTGTGTTTACTTTTAATATCATATACCTTGTATTTAAAGAGTGATTGAGTTTTTTTATATTCCAGTTTGTATAAGTAGAGATGATTGTATTCGCCCAATTTATTATACTACTAATAAGTAGTGACTTTATCAGAAGGTATTTAAAGGAATGTTTGTACATGTATATAATTGCTTATCTGTATATCGGGAATAATGGACCTCATACTTAAATCTGAGGGTTTTTTTAATCTTCCCTTAATTTTAACTGATACATTTCAGTACTTCATAGGCTAGTAGTACCGGTAGTATGGAACACGTTGTGATTACTTGAAAAGGCACGATTCTTGTGCAATTAGAATTCAAAAACGTTTTAAAAAAATCAGTTACGTAAAAGAGGCTTCGTTTTTGTCAGGGGACTGTTCCGTTGAATTCATATTGAAGGATAACATGGCGTAGTTAATATTAATACCGTGTGTGAAAAAGGGTACTGCAAACCAATGTTGATAGACGTATACTTTTTAATCACAGACTATAAATGTATTGTCTTCACGAATAATCTGTAACCTGTTTGGTCTTGTTTTCTACATATAGTTAGTGTAGGCTTTCTACAGTTTGGCATCAGCTATCTATTTGCTGTAGGCCTACAATTTTTTTTAAATTTTTATCACATTATTCTAGTTGTGTTAGACTACAAAATGTATTTTCAAGTATTCTTCCAGTGATTATAATTATTGCGCTCACTTTACTCACACGTATTGAAGCATTCTCATTAGTATATTGTTGCGTTGGAGTGGAAAATAAAGATTTTTCTTCTGAGAATGAATGACAGTTCTTAGCGTTTGGAAATGTACTTAGAATTACAAGAACAAAAGTACCCCAAAAGACAGAAAATTGTACAACTATTGTAAAACTTATAAAGCCACTTTTCGCGCCAATGGCAGCCACATTGGATTGCCAACATTCATTGTAACATGACTATGACTTTTAGTCTGAAGTGAGTAATAAGTAGTTTTGGTCAGAGAAAATGGTTAAATAAACGGGCAGTGCCCATGCCCGTTTATTTATTTATTTATTTTATTATTAAGCCATTACTACATGACAGTGTAGCCAGGCGCGGTTCTAGAACCAATATTTTGGGGGGGGCTAGCAGGGTGGATCCATAATTTTTTTCAGGAAGGCGTGCTTGGGGGGGGGGGGGGCTCATGCCATATTTTCAATGGGGAGCGCCAAGAAAATCCTAAAATCATTCACACTATATTAACTACAAATGCTACCTTGTCACGACTATTTCTTTAGGGGGAGACCGTTCGCATGTACATCACAATCCTTCTTTTTGCTTATGCAATTTCTTTTTACGGAATTTATTTTGGGGGGCCTAGACAAAATTTGGGGGGGGGGGGGGCTAAAGCCTAGTTCCCCCCCCCCCCCCCCCCGTAGAACCGCGCCTGAGTGTAGCTTGTTTTGTTTGTATTGGTTTCTATGGAAACCATTGCAACTGATAACTGAAAATTGTGATAATTGGCCAAAGAAGGTGTCTACCACATCAGGTCAATAACCCTGCACAATAGTACAATTGGAACGGTGAAGCCAACGTGCGTGGCAGGGTTGGGAGTATACAGCGGAGGACATCAGGGTGGTGGTTGGGGTGTTTTAAATGCCAAGCTTTTGGAATGCAAATATCCTTTTTGCGTGGTTATTTCATCTGGCATGCGATCGGCATCGTGCATCTTACATCAACCTTGGTGAAATAAACACAAAATGGTGATATAAACAGCTAGCATGGTTCCCACGCTCATGGAAAAATCATGGAAAGTCCTTCAAAAAAAGTTGTCATGGAAAACTTATGGAATATTGGGAATTGAAAAAGTCATGGATTGGAAAAGTCGTAGAAATCAAGATTATGTAGGGGTTATTTTTGATGGGCCGCTTTAAGGATGGCTGTAAGCATGGGTGTCAATCGGTGGGGGGGGGGGGGGGGGACAAGTCCTCCCGCCCCCGTACTTTTTAAAGGGGGGATATATCATTTGTCCCCCCCCCTACTTTTTTCATCCCCGAATAAATATAGTAGCCTACATTTTGATTCTATAGCTCCGATGATACCGTGACTCCAATTTCGAAAACGATGTTGAAATGATGATCTTTTGCTAAAAATGGTTAAAGTGGTAAGAAATTGCCTCAGATCGCACCACAGAGTGTCTGGAATCTAATCGGAGCCATTTAATTAAGCGGGCCCGAACCCCCACACAGTTACGGCTTCGCGCCACGTGCTCGCAGAGTTTCTAATCAAGGTGTGTCTCTCCTATATTTTCGGTAGGAACCCTGAGGTAAATAATGAATCAGGGTGACCCTAAAGAAATGACACAATTCTGCTAGATGCACTTCAAAAATCTGCTAGATAAAACAAAAATCTCAAAATACTTTTCAAAACAAATCTGGTATATTTTTTCTGCTAGGATAACCGATTTTACAGAATTCTGCTAGAAATCTGCTAAAATTTACATTCTGCCAGACTTTCTGCTAGCTTCTTTTTTTTTTTCAATATAAAATCTGTCAGATCCAGCCGACAATCGGCTATAACGGTCACCATGTATGCAATGGGACCAGAGCGTGCGGTGGGCGGGGTTGAAGATGGGTTGTAAATTGTTGCAGGATTTGGAAGGTCATAAGCGAGGGTCGTAAAACGTATAACAAATGGGTTCTCATCGGACAGTGGAAAGTGGTCTGGTGTCTTGACTATTTTCTGGCAGGACCAAGTCATCAAGGGCCACACATGTCAG